GGAGCGCTTCCTGTAAAAATCTTTCTGTTTGATAAGACTTATGACATTGGCTGTATACCATTTCGGGTATTAGCCACTTTTATGCGAATATTTAGGCACATATTTGTTAACTAATTCTTCGATAATAGCATAAAAGTTCGACACATTCTCGTTAGTATCAGTAGATGCTAGCTCAGTTGACCAATCGATTGCCGAAAGTTCGATTATAATTTCTTCATAGTTTCCCTTGAAGAAATTGAATTTAGTGTCTTTGAAGGAATGTAGGAATTTTATATCGGTCAGATCTAGTGTTATCTCCAACGCTGGATGATAATTATCAGCTGTTATTTACAAATGGAGTATCGCATTTAACGATGGTTAAGTTGTGTAAATTCGAAAGCACAAGATCAAGAATTCTTTGAAATTCATTACGTACATGGTTCATTTGTTTGAGGTCTGTGAGGTGAAGTGTGTTAATTGAATCGGTTTCGATACCAGTGTTGAAGTCGAAGACTTCACAGTGATTATCGACCTTGAACCGCGTAATGCCACTCATGTTATAGTCACCGAGAAAAATAAATGTTGAGTCTGGTTGTGCCATGGTCACTTTTTCAATCAAATGATCATAAAAACTGCTGTACTCGGCCCGAGTTGAGTCTGGCGGAATATAAACTGTGTTAATATAGATTTTTGTTGATTGCGACCAAGACATTCTCGAACGGGCACTCGCTCTCCCACTCAGACAATCTGGTATTTGAAATGTCACTTTTTAGAGCAATTAAACACCCTCCACCACGGGAGAGTCCCGTCAGTTCACGGTTTCTGTCATGCCTGTAAACAGTGTAATTATTAGTAAAAAGTTGAGAATCCTCTATTTCATCATTAAGCCAAGTTTCCGTTAGTGAAATTATATCAAAATCATCAGTTGTACTGGCGAAGAGAAATTTAGCAGTTTTACTGCGTAGTCCTCTTGTGTTTTGGTAATATAATTTTAGTTTTTTACTCGAACGTTTCATTGAATAATGGAAAAAATTTGTCTATGTAAATACAATTTCCGTAACCTATTGGATTTAATGAGTAACTTTATTAATGCTCCAGTTAGTCTATCTTATTTCACACGTGTAGTTAGATTATCTTGAACCGTTGACAATCGGCTTTTATTAGACACTTTCATGTTTGGTCATTCGCTCATGCATAAATTGGGTTTTTCTCTTGGCTAGTCGAAAACTAATATTTATGTAAAATCAAACTATATATTGTTATCAGATGAAAACTTACTCACAATAAGGAAAAATATCGCGTCACGACTTTTGATTTTAGATCAAGTTTTCAAGCGTTCTGCCATCTAAAAGTCGTGACGCGATATTTTTCCTTATTGTGAGTAAATTTTCACAATAGTGAATGCGAAAAATAATTTTGAACTAGCGGAACAAAACCTACGCTTTTTTTAAAAATTTGGCTAAATATACACTGCCGTCAGAAAGTTTCAGGACAAATTTGACCAACAAATTTTAAATTTCAAACCGCTTGTCCAATTTCAACATGCTATACGTCGTTGGGAAGGTCTTGAAAGGTAGATGTGATTTGTGGTATTAAAGATCAAAATCGGCCGGCGTTTGGCCAAGATATGGCTGATTAAAGATTTCGGCCAAAAATTACAAACGGCCATATCTTGGCCAAACGCCGGCCGATTTTGATGTTTAATACCACAAATCACATCTACCTTTCGGTGGAGCCCGACCCTGACTGGATTACAGGCACAGGACACGTCACAACGAATGGGCCCTCAACAATCGACGAATGGTGTTCAGAATTGAACAGATTAGATTTAAGCAATCATTGCATTGAGCCAAGCAGCCTTTTGCGCTTGGCCTTTTTTCCTATAAATATCCGCGACATAGCGAGATGCATTCAATATTGATTTAGAAATGTTACCAAGAACATCGGTTTAGAATAAACGTTAAGAAAATGACGCTCCAGCATTTTTATTTATTTCATTTCTCCTTCAAATATTCAACATGGTCCTTCGACTGTGAGAAAAATGATAGACCAAATAGTTTACGGTCGAGATTTTTCCAATGCCTGCTAACAATTGACTTTTATACCTGTCAAAACGTTCGCAGCGCCGCAGTAGTCGTTTTTGTAATGTAAAATACATTCAAAAAAATTCAATAGAAAAAAATCATAACGAAAATTTTTCATTCCCTTTTGTGTGGATCTTCTTCGAATACAGTAACATACTTGAGTATTGCAGCGCCACTATAATCGCAAAACTAACTATGTTGGATGAAGACAATTTGTTGTCGTATTTCCATACGATTGACAGAATGCTGTTACCCATTGGATTTTTTTAGTGGCACTCACCGAATATAACAATGTATGCCATATTGTATTGTTGCCGAATATTACCACGATGTACCTAGATGGTGTCCATGTTCATCTCCGTTCCAAGGCCTTTCATATGATACCCATATTGACTATTCATATGGGAAAATAGTGTTGAGTCATGTTAACAT